TCTGCTTATCTGTCCCACCAGTGTACAGTGGCCTGACTGGCCCATCGCCATGGGGTTAGCTTGAACACCCTGCATGAATTAACTCCATCGATGTTGTCTGCTCCCATTATAGCTAATGGCACTGACTCAGCCTTCCATGTGCTTACTGCTAAGCCAGCCAATACTGCTCTAGCACCTGTAGCAATGCCTGTTCGTGAAACCAACCCTTGGGCCCATGCCCCTGATGCTGCTAACAAGGAAATTGCAGCCATACGTCCGGGTAAGGTGGCCACAGATGTTGAAGTGGATTCTGGGAGCAGGTTCTAAAATCAGCCAGTTACCCGGTGAAGACTATAAGCAGGATATTCCTTCCCAGACAGAAGTGTCTGTGAATAAAGGCTCTAAAGCTGAGAACAAAAGGATTAGGTGGGAGGTTCTCAGAACTACCATAGAATTTTAGTAAGCCACCGTTTCCTGGGCCACCCCCAGAGAACCTTGTCACCAGCTTTAGCAGCACGTGCAGCTGCCTGTAAAGTCACCCTGCCTGGTAAGCCTATTTACCAGCTTTTCTGGGGTGTTTTGAGGCAGGGTCTAACTCTGACTGGAATTTACTCTGTAGACCAGGCTTCTGAGTGCTGAGATTAAAGGCATCCACCACCAGTTCTGGCCTTTTTTTTTTTTTTTTTTTTTTTTTTTTTTTTCTCCTTCTATCATTCATGTTTTTTAGGGTTTTGAGACAGTCTTGCTTAAACGCTTGGTTCACTGCCTCAAATTCCGTTATCTGGGAATGCAGGCCTGCACCACTGCCCAGCCCCTTGGGCCGCCGGAGCATTATGAGCCAGTTTCTCCACAGTGGATGACTGTGGCAACAGGACACGTTTTTGACACCACTCAGCTGCCTTGGTTCAGGGCATTTGAGCCTGAGCATGCTTTAAGATGACAGCATATTCTAACAGGTTTGGCTTGTCCTACAAACAGAGCTTCTTGGCTGGTGACACTTCAATCCCTCTACCAGAACCACAAGTGTCCCATCATGGAGTATGCTGCACGGTTTAAGATCATTCACATAACCAAGATTATCAAGTGAGAACGGCCTCTAATTCCTCCTTCCTGTCTCTCCATCTTGTTGGTTCTAGGGACTGAGTGGGGTCAGTCTTCTGCTGCTGCCTCTGCAGGTCTCTTCCAGGCTGGCCATAGACGTACTCCCTCTGAGGCTGACCGTTGGTTAGAAGAAGTATCCAAGAGCGTCCGTGCCCAGCAGCCACAGGCCTCCGCAGCCCCTCTGCAGCCAGTTCTTCAGCCTCCTCCACCTCCTGCCATTGCCCCACCGCCAGCACCTTTCCAAGGAAATGCATTCCTCGCCTCTCAGCCTGTACCAGTGGGCGTGGTCCCACCCCTGCAGCCAGCCTTTGTCCCTGCCCAGTCCTACCCTGTGGCCAATGGGATGCCCTATCCAGCTTCTAATGTGCCTGTAGTGGGCATTACCCCATCCCAGATGGTAGCCAACGTGTTTGGCACTGCAGGCCATCCTCAGGCCACCCATCCCCATCAGTCACCAAGCCTGGCCCAGCAGCAGACATTCCCTCAATATGAGACAACTAGTGCTACCACCAGCCCCTTCTTTAAGCCTCCTGCTCAGCACCTCAATGGTTCTGCAGCTTTCAATGGTGTAGACGATGGCAGGCTGGCCTCAGGAAGCAGGCATACAGAGGTCCCTGCAGGCACCTGCCCAGTGGATCCTTTCGAAGCCCAGTGGGCTGCATTAGAAAGCAAGTCCAAGCAGCGCACTAACCCCTCCCCTACCAACCCTTTCTCCAGTGACTTACAGAAGACGTTTGAAATAGAACTTTAGACAATCTCTGTGACATGTCTTTTCTGTACTTAGGCAAGGACGGGGGCAGAGGAGCAAAGGGGACTTGGCTTTCCTGATCAGTACACTTTTCACTAATCCCAAACGTCCCAAGGAGCGAGTCGAAGCACAGAGTCCAGTGAGGGGTGATGTCCACAGAGAGGAAAGCAGTTCCAGAGAGGACCACCCTGCAGCTATGCTAGAGGGGTCAAGGAAATGTTGCCTTTCGGTCCCTCTCCTACCTTACAAATCTCTGGCAACAGAGAGGCAGAAGTATCTGAAGAGGAATCTGTATTCAAAGCACATTTACTGGAATATAAAACAACAGTAAGCAAAACAATCTCCCTTTACTTTTCAGGTCAGGCACCCCTTCCTCCCAGTACTGGCCTGTCTTAGAGAGCTCGATGGAGAACAGTGGCTTGTGCAGGCTAGGAAGCAAGGCAAGCCGTGCTCCAGGTTCACAGGAGAGCTCATTAGCAGCTGCCTAGCGGAGCTGTGTTCTGTGGGTAAAACTGAGCTTCCATTTTGAGTAACAGAATCAATATTATAAATATATACATATATATATCAAAAAAAGCCAAAATCTTTATTTTTATGCACCTAGAATATTTTAAATAGTTCTCAATATTAAAGTTGTATGAGTTGTAAGTAATCTTGCCAAAAGTGAGCAGGTTAGTTGTAAGAAATTGTACATAAGATTGATTTATCATTGATGCCTATTGAAGTAAAGGGGAAGGGTTGGGAACTGTAGGCAGGAGCCCTGGCTTGTCTGTGATCATTCACTGTAACTAGCACATTAGCAGCAATCATACTGATGACCAGTACAGTCACTGGTTACACTTTCAAGTGAAACGAAAGCAGTGTTGCCCTTGTTTAACCCTGTGGTGAAACTCTACTGTCATGATTTTAATGGGATCAATCTGCACTGCAGAGAATGTGTGTTATCTTTATGTACCATTGCAGTTTCCTTATGTTAACCCTTTATCATTAAGGTGACAATGACATAATCATATCCAGAAGAGGGAACGCAGGCTATTGTGTTGGTTTGTAGTGTGGGTTTTGTCCTTGAGGTTTTGTTCCGATAAGTTTCATAGGGATGAGGATTCTGGATTTATCTGCTCTGTGTGTCCGTTTCCCCTTCCTCCCACCATAAACAGAACATCCCATGCCAGTTGCAGCTACTTGACCTCGGGTGACAACGTGAGACCCCATCTCATTCCCACTTCTAAGCGTTGGCCTTACAATCAGATGTAAGTTATATATACATATATATATATTTGTACTGATGAAAATTTATAATCTGCTTTAACAAAAATAAATGTTCGTGGTAGAAGCTTTTGCCTGTGAAGGGCTGTTCTTATTTGCAAATGAGTTTATAGGTTTTTTGTTGTTGTTGTTGTTTTATTCTTACTCTACTGCCAACATGGGTGCATCTGTGACTCTCCTTACTAACAAAGTTTGATCTACAGCAACAGCATGAACTACACCCAGAAGCGGGGTTCTTAACCCCAGGGTTGGAGCCATGATGCTGTATGCATAGAAACAGGGTCTCACTATGTAGCCCTGGCTGTGGCTGGCTTCGAACTCAAGAGATCTGCCCACCTCTGCCTCTCAAGTGCTAGAATTAAAGGAGTGTACCACCACTGCCTGACAGAACACTGCCTCTCAGCCTTAGCTGTATCTTGGAATTTACTGAGGTGTAGCCCAGTGAAATGTGTGCTTAGCATGCCAGATCCTCCAACGCATGCACACACATGTGCGCATACACACACAGACACACACACACAAAACACCTGTAATACCCAGCCTGTTCACCAGGCCACTTAGAATTCCGGTGGGGAGGACATCAAGTTGTGCTTTAGGTCTTGAGGAGTTTGTCTTTGGTGGTTTGTTGTGCTCTGACAGCAGGCTAAGTAACCCTGACTAGGGTAGTTTACCCCCTCACCTCTCAGCCCCCCCCCCTTCTTGTTCCTACAAACATCTGTCACCCAAATGTTTCTCAGCTCTCAGAGAGGCTCTGTGTCTTTTCTTTTTGAGTGAGATGGCCTGGGACACCACTTACACATGAAGCTTTGGTCCCTCGGTACCCTTTGGTCTTGTAGTCTTGTCATCGGAGTTAGTGGGGAAGCCTGGAAGCTCACTAAATGTGTGCCTCTTGAGCATTATTATTTAAGAATTAAGAGGCTCTGAAAGATGAAGGATCCCCGCCTGCATCTCTGACTACTAAAACCACTTCCCTAACTGTGACATCATACCCCCCATCTTGCTAATACGGAGTTTGGGGTTATTTACTTTGAAATAGGGTTTCACTCTGTGACCCAGGCTGGCTGATCATTCCCAGTTTTTTGTTTGGTTTTTGTGTTTTTTTGTTTTTGGTGTGTGTGTGCATGCATGGTGGTCAGAGGACAACTTGCCTGAGTCCGTTCTGCATTCTGCTAGGTGTGGGTTCTAGGGCACAAACTCAGGTCATCAGACTTGGCAGTGAGTGCTTCACCCCAAGCCATCTCATCAGCCCCCACCTGCTGTTTTAGCTCTGATTTAGTTCTGATTTTTCTCTAGCAACAAATACTCTGATCCACAGATTTCCACTTAAGGAAGCATGCTCCTCTCTGCTGCTCAGAGCAGGTTAGTGAACTGTGTAAAGGAAGAGGCACGTGAACCTTCCCAGCCTACTTTGTGGGGCAACCCCAGGAGGGCTGCAGTGTAGTTTTTTTCCCAATTTTTCACACTCAGGGTACAATGCTATCTGGCGTTTTCATCCCACATCCCTACATAGAGGCCCTATGATTGTGCTCTAACTTGCCAAGAACTTGCCAGGCATCACTGTGAACTCCATACTGTGATGGCATTGAAGCCAGCTGTGCCACTGCCTCGGAAGAGGAAAAGACCTGAGCGACAGCTCAGCACCTGACCTGATGGCTTTGTGTTCTAGCACAGAAAGAACACTTGGGACTGAGCAGTTGCCACTCCCCCTACTGTCACATTCTCTCCCCACCCAGCCTGCTCTGCAGTGTGCCCAGTGGGTCCCCTGTACAGATTGAGCACCCCTCACTCAAAAATCAAACATTGAGACATTTTTGAAGGCTGACATGGCATGTGGTGTTCCAAGCGTCAGAGCATTTCAGATTTTTAGATTATGGATGCTCAATTAGTAAAGTCTGCAAATATTTCAATGTTTAGAACACTTTGGGCCCAAGCATCTCAGATAAAGGCTCCTCGAGGCAGCAGGGACTATAGCGAGAAGGTGTAAAGGAACAGTTCTGTATAGGCAGATTCCTCTTGACAGCAGCTTGAAGTCATATCAAACAGACTACACTACAAGGGGAGGCTGGCAGCCTGCTGGACCTTATCCCTGGATCTCTGAGAGGGCCAGTATCCGAAAGGAGATTCCCTCTGCAAGCCATGGCTTACCATCCCTTCTCCCCAGCAAACTATCCAGGACTGGCGCCACAGCTAGCCTTCATCCCTCCTGCCAGACAGGCTGAGCATTCGGCTGGAAGCGGGAGCAGCTGGCACAGCAGAAGCTGGAGTAATATTCATTGCCACAGAGCTGGGCCTTCAGGATCAAGGCACAGTTGGCTAGCTCCGGCTGGTCGATGCACTCCCTGCCCAGGTCCCTGGACTGAGCGGCTGGTGCTGCAGAACGAGAGGAGAGGAGGGGCTGAGGCAGCTGTCCTGCTGCAGCCTCTCACCTGGTCCACACATGCTTGAGCAGCAAGGGAGGATGGCTCCCACCCCTTGCTGGCCTTACTAGTGGTCCTCCGTGATTCTTATCTGTGGCCTCAGCCCAGTGCACAGCCTTTCCAGACTCTCACTAACTAGACCATCAAATGGCTCTTCCAAGGTAACTCCCTGCCTTTACTGTCCACGGCTGAAGAGACACATGGCAGCTGGGTTAGGAGGAAGGGGAGGTAGGGTCAGTCCTAGGAAAGCTGGAAGTCAGCGAGAGCTGTCATCCTCCCTGGTGCTGCTCTGTCCCCCAGCCTCCCCCAGCTTGCCCATGTCCTAGTCCCACCTAGAAAACGACAGCTCTTCAAAGCCCTGTTAACTGTGGCTCTAAGGCTACGCTGAGAGCATAGCCCCTGCACCACCCTCCACCTTCCTAGAGTTCAGTCCACTGCCTCATCCTAGGCACCCTGCCTTTTCTCTGGAGGCTCTGTGCAGCCCTGTCCCCAGTGTCCCTACAGCCAGGCATACAGGGCTGAGTATCTTCATGTCCCTGTTGCTTCAGAAGACACCATGGAAAGACCAGACCAGCTGAGTGGCCTTAAGAAAGTTTGCCATTCTTACCAGCATAACCACGGCACTGGCTTCCTGCGTGTGCATGGTAACGATACCATGTGTGCACACTGTTTCCAAAATCTGAAACCTTGATTTCAACTATCAGCTGCTGCAGTCCCAACCTATCATAAGTGCTCTGTGTAGTGTGGTTAAGATGATTCCCTTGGGCAAATTCATTTCTTGAGCTCCTGGAGCCTCTGCTCCCTCTGTGAAATGGAGAGGGAATAGTGTCTGCCTTAAAGAGGTGCTCCTAAGGACTTAAAACAGCTGGTCCTGCTGGCACAGGCCTGTAACAGCTCTACTTGGGGCCCCCAAGGCAGACCACGGCTTCAAGGCCAGCCGGGACAACCCAGGGAGACCCTGTCTCATACTAAAAACACTAAAAAGAGGCATAGGAGTATGGTTTGGTGACAGGAGTGTAGATTGCTTATCTATAATGTACAAAACCCACTCACAATGCCACCCAGGGTGTATAAAAACCATGACAGAAATTGGAGAGCTTATGGAGCTTAGCACTGTCTTGACCCCCCCCCAACGTGTTTTTCCTCATGAGACAGGAACAGAATGGGTGTCAGGCTACCTCCCATTCCTACAGTATTTTCTGCTTTTTACTTGGCCCTCATAGGCCTAAGCCACCACCCCATGCTAACACTCTAGTGGCACCAAGCCATAACTTGGGATAGCACGATAGTCACTATGTAACTGTCAAAACAACAACAAAGGCATATATCTGCAGGCTGGTCAACGGAAGGAATATAGACAGATAGGGAGGGGACTGCTGGAATTCTGTTGAGATGCCTCCAAAATATGTAAAGACTGCAACATCTAGCAGAGGACAGAGGAGGAGGCCTCGCTGCAGCCGTGAGTGGGGTGTGGAAGTTAACTCATGGCACCCACACGTCACCCAAAGCTCACTAGCCTCCCTTGTTGGACAGGCTTCTGATTATCATCTGGTCTCCCTCACGATAGACATTCCTACAGTTGATCACAAATGTGAATGTCCAGATCCCCTTGGGTGGGTTGTCCTCGAGGTGGATTTTGTTTGGTTGGCTATTGTTCTAATAGGGATGTCGCTCAAACTGGTAACCTGCCTCTGTAACCCAAGAGCCCAAGAGCTAGGACCATAGATGTCTGCAGTCTTGCTCTTGTGTGTTTGGTTAGTGTGTAGATGAGATAGATTTTCTAGAAATGTCAAAGGTGGGAGTACTTCAGTAGGTGTTTTCACCAGAGAACTATTGTTCACACAGGCACACCAAGCCGCCAACGATCCCTGGTTGCAGAGCACTGGGCTCGGCCCTGATGTCCCTGACACTGCTTAGGGAGCTCAAAGTGAGTAGCAGTCCCAAAGCAAAGCAACGTTTCAACACACACCTTCAGCCTCTGGCCAGTTCCCACACTCAGCCTAGTAGCCAGGAAGACTGCCAGTACTGACTTATGTCAACTCTACTAGTCATGAGTGTTCATGCAGACCAGGTAGTTAGTGCCCTGTTACCTCCAAGCCCGGTACCCTTCTCCAAGGTCTGCCTCGGGTCTATGAGAACTGGCTGCTTGGCCAGAGGCCCTGACCTGGCTCAGTCCCTCCCTCAACTAAGACCTATGGAGAGCAGAGTGAGTGAACCCTTCCGGCCCCAGCCTTGTCACTTAAACGCGGAGCTCATGTGAGCTTGAACTTTAAACAGTCCTGTTTCACCAATTCTAAGATGTAACTTAAAAACAGGCATGGTACCACCTGGGAAACAAAGGCCAGGAGATTAAAGTAGAGAGTAGTCATGGCTACATAGCAAATTCAAGGCCAACCTGGGCTACAGAAGTAAATAAATAAAACCAGGAGTCAAAAAAAAGCCTGCCTTTGGTTCCCAGCTGTCCACACTTCTGCAGTGTGGATGGTGAGAGCGTCCCTGAAGCTCTCTGGGTACCTATCATGAATAAAGGATGTGGTGACCCTGCCCTCTGTCACGTGCCTAGATGATCAAAGAGGCACTTCTCCAGCATGATTTACAAAGGAGCTTGTACCAAACATTGATCCTGTCCTTAAGAATGAAGTCTTGTTTCCATATGTATGTTCTCGTTTGTTATGGTGCTGGGGATAGAGCCTGGGTCTCTGAGACGCAGCCCTTCTGCCACCCTGATTAGAGTGCACAGATTTTAGGGGTCCATCCGTCTTAAACATTCCAACCAATCTTATTTTTAAGAGTAAGACTGCTAAGGACAAATGGCAGAGTTGAGGCATTTGCGGTGCCAGACTGAACACTTCCTCGGCCTCAGGTGGTAGGGTAGCCCCAGGAAGGGGGCTCTGGGGTGATAGTAAACGCCCACCCCCAGTCACAACACCAGAAACTAGACTTGTGCACAGGTGCGAGCACAGGTAAGAGCAAGATCGCTAAGCCTGTGACCTGCATGCTCAGCTGGCCTTCAGGGCAGCAAAACCCAGGGACAAGCCTCTCACCTGGTAGGGTCACCTTCACCTCGGTGCTGCGGCTCACGGCCTGGCTCCCACGGTAGGCACTACATGTGTAAGAGCCCTCATCCCTGGGCCGCAAGTTGTGGATCAACAGTGTGCCATCCGGAGACTGATGCACACGGTGGCCATCTGCCTGTACTGGGAGTCCATTCCTGGAGGGGAGAGGACATTGAGAGAGCCATCCAGGACCTCTGGATACATGCCCTAGGAGGCCTGGGAGACATTGGCCAAGGCTATTCCAGAGCCAACCTTCTCTCCCCAGGAGAGCAAGTACATGACACTTCAGGAAGTAGGCACAGGTGCACTAAATTAGTAGGAGGACATTCCCAAAGCCCGGTGGCACGACTAAGCACTGAGTTATCAATTTGCCTTGGATCCACAAAGGAACCCACTCCAGCCTGTCACTGACAAATGCCAGGCCCTGTGTCGGGGGAAACCTACATTCACCTTCATGGTACAGGGGAGGGTGCAGGTGTCCAGGGAACCTTCCACAAGAAAGGGGCTAGCTGACCTGAGGAGGGGAGAAGTCAGCAGCAGAGCTGGCCAACGGGAGAAACTAGGATTTGGGAACCTGAAGACAAGCCAGAGCAAAGAGAGGCAGGAGGGAGCCAGGCAAGACTCGTAGCAAGGGTTTAAACAGCTCTGGGAGTGACTAGGGCTTGAGGGGAGTGGGACTGGCTGGGGTAACCTGGAAGAGGAAGCAGGGGTGGGGGGGGTTAGTGGTTTGTGCACGTGGAGAAGATGACGGGCACGGAAGTACAGACAGGTGAAGATCAGAGGTGGGAGGTGGAAAGTACAGCTTGGTCACTAGGCAATGGTGGCATTAGGGCAGCCTTCTCTTTGCCCATGAGGGCAGATAGGTAACTCGGTCTTGGCTCACTGGAGCCCGCCAAAGTGGAGAGGAATGAATAGTGAGATGTTTTGAACCTGGGGTGCCTAGGAGATCTGGAACTGAAGTCCCGACCCAAGAGTGTGTCAGCACGGAATGACCTCTGGAGGAGCCCATCTCCAGAGCTGTCCAGGGCAACAGCTCTGAGGACAGTAGGGAAGCCATGGGAAGGGGGTGATTGGTGGCCTCTCCACTGAATGTCCCCTGGAGCAGGGGCTGGATGTAGGTAGAGCAGTGATCAGGACAGACGGCAAGATGTACAACCATGCTGTGAGGGGGACACTGAGCACTGATGCCCCTGGAATTGAAGCTGCCGAGGAGGCAGCCGGCCTCCATAGTCGCCATCACCACCAGTGCCTCCCTCCAGGAAGTACTGGCCTTTGACAATTCACCGCTTCTCCTCCCAAGAGCATCCTTCCCTCTCTTACCCTCCCTGGCCTTGTCCCTGACTCTCCCAGATCGAGGGCCTCCCTTCTGTGCTCAGTGAGCACTCGGGGGGAAACCCGGGCCAAAGCCACCTCTCAGCTCATAGTGCCCTGAGGTTCAAGTGATCCCCAAATCTCCAGACACTCATGTAGATTTGGACATATTCTAAAGAGGTACAGGCAAAAGAAAGCTGCTGAATTTAAAAAGAAGAGCTGATCTGGAATCGGTACACTGAAGTTGGGGCTGGAGAGTTGCCTCAGTGGTTAAGGATGTGTTCCTGCAGAGGATCATGGTTCGGTTTCCAGCAGCCACCTGGTGACTCAGCTGTAACTCCAGTTCCAGAGACCCACCCTCCTCCTCCTGACCTCCACAGGCACCAGGCACAGGCACGCATGTGTTTTACACAAATACACATAAGTAAACTTGGAAAAGAAAAACCCTGAAGTCTCCAAAGCTGCATACAGCCCTGTGATTCTCAATATGGAGGAGATAGGACCATGTCTGGAAATACTGTGTACTGTTTTAACCTGGGCAGGGAGGATGTTGCTTACTGGCTCTAACAGATGATGTTCTAGATGCTGCTAAATATCCTACCATGAACAAGCCTAAAACAAGCTTGCCTGGCCCAATATTTCAATGATACTAAAATTAAGAAAACTGTAGTTGCTGGATATGATGGCATACACCCTTAATCCCAGCACTCAGGAGGCAGAGGCAGGTATCTGTGAGTTTGAATCCAGCATCTACACAGTGAGTTCCAGGCCAGCCAGGGCTACATAGTGAGACCCTGTTTTGAAAATACCAAAAAACAAATTAGCCACAAGGTGGTGGCGCATGCTTTTAATCCGGGAGGCAGAGGCAGGCAGATTTATGGAATTTCAAGGAGTTCCAAGACAGCCAGGGCTATACAGAGAAACCCTGTTTCAACCCTCCTCCCACCCCACCCCACCCCCGCAAAAAAAAAAAAAAAAAAAAAAAAAAAAGGAAATTGTGTCATCAGGCCTCAGCGGATGGTGGTATAGTGGTAATAGTGACATTTCTGACAGAATGAGACTAGAAGAGCATGTATGGCTAAAATAGCACTGTACCTGGACCACCTAATGGTCACACTTTCTCCAGCCACTACACACAGAAGCCTGGCAGTGTCGCCCTCTGGCACGGTCACGGAAGGAGGCAGGCCTGTGATTGTCAGCTCCCCTAGACACAAGAAGACGTCGTCAGTGGCTCTCGCAGACCCCACCCCCACTATCCCCACCCCATCCCACTCAGAACCTCCTTTCCTACCCAGAACTCGGAGCTGGACCCAGTGCTGGTCTCGGTCCTGTCCATTAAAAGCAACACAGGTGTAGAAGCCACCATCTTCCACAGTCACTCGGCTGATGACCAGAGAGCCATCAGGCTGCAGCTGGTGCCTGGGGACGAAACAAGAGTTGGCTTTCACCCACCTAGGGACTGAGCTGGGATCAAGAGGGGCAGGAGTGGGGAGGAGGGCTGAGCAGGGCCCCCTGTTCAAAACCGTCCAGCAAAAGAGCTGATGGCCCCAGCCCCTCACGCAGTCCAGCTGCCAACATTGTAATTTACTTGACAATACCTGGCTTTTAAACTCAATAACAAATCATTTCATGTTTTCTGATTTAAAAACTATTTGAGACCAGGTGTGGTGGCTCATGCCTGTAATCCCAGCACTCAGAAGAAGCAGGATTGCCATGAGTTTGATGCCAACCTAGTATATAACCTGGTGACTTCCAGGCCAGCCTGAGCTACAATGTGATGCCCTGTGTCAAAACAAAACAAAAACAAAAAACACACGGAAAGGGGAGCTGGGTGATGATGACACATGCCTTTAATCCCAGCACTTGGGAGGCAGAGGCAGGTGGATCTCTGTGAGTTCAAGGCCAGCCTAGTCTACAGAGCGAGTTCCAGGACAGCTAGGACTACACTGAGAAACCCTATCTCTAAAAATCAAAAAGGGCCAGAGAGACCACAATTGGTAAAGTACTTGCTTTATAAGCATGAGGATTGAGTTCAACCCCCAGAATCCACAGTGGAGGCTTGGGTGGGGGAGGGGGCAGGCAGGCATGGTAGGGCATGCTTCTAATCCCAGCACTGGGTGGGTTTGCTGGCCGGCCAGCCTAGTAACTTGGCAAGCTTCAGGCCAATGAGAGACCCCATCTTAAAGAAACAAGGTGGACAGTTCCCAAGAATAATGTCTCCAGTTGACTTCCAGCCTCTGTACAGAAGTTTCTCATGGACATGCAACACAATCTTAGATTCAATTTCTAGTTTGTTTGAGACAGTCTCATACCATTTATACTGGCTGTTCTAGAACTCACAGAAGTCCACCTACCTCACCTCTAGGATTCTACAATTAAAGGCTCAGATTTCTAGTGTTTGCCATAAGCAAAGTAGACTCGAACCCTGATTGGGGAGTGAGCTGTGTGACCCTAAGCTCCTGTGTATAAACCACTGACAAGAAACACATAGTTCACAATGGCTCCCTGCAGCTTACACAACAGGGAACAAGGCTCAGTACATGTCAGCAATGGGGATCCTCCAGGAGCGTGCACAATCTGTCTCCCCCTGGGCAGCCTCTCATTTCCATCAGCCATACTTTGGAAAATGGCTAGAAGACCTATGCTCCAACCCCATTTCTCCAAGTCCGGAGCCCTGCTCTGGCCTCCATAGGATGTGTGTCTGGAGGTAGGTGAACAGGCTGAATGAACCTGGGAGAAGAGACCAGCTGCCCATCTCTTTGCCACTCGATGGTGGGGGGTGGGAACCCTTCAGCTCGGCAGGTCAGCCGGATCCGCTGGCCAGGACTGGCATCCACCACCCCAGGCTGAGTCCGGTCCAAACGCAGCCTACAAAACAAATTATGCATAGCTAAGGGGCCCTGGCTGCTACTTCACCCCATAACATAGTCCTCTGCATAAGCCCCTTTCTCCCTCTCTAGCCAGGGTTGGATCCCTAAAATTATCCCTTAGTCCCGTTAAGACACCAACACTAGTTAAGATCTGGGGTAAAGGCCCAGGGCTGGCTGCCACCTTGACTGACTAAACACCAGTGTGTCTGCCTGCATTCTCATGACCTGCACATCTGCCACCAAGCCCTGAGAGGTACTCCCTCGGCCCCCAAATCCCGAGATGGAACTAGACCTCAAGGCCAACTCTCCAAGCCCAGGGCACTGGCTGGTAAAGACCTAACCACAGCACATATTTTCCCTTATCCCCTGTTGAGATCAGGAACCCTGAAAGACCCTGAGTATATTGTTCAGAGAGCATTAGGGCATGTATGCTGTGTTGTTACCTGCTTGCAGGCCTGGTGTGTGGGGAAGAGACAACCCCTTGGCTCCCAGCTTCTGCCCTTATTCCAGAATCCCGAGGACCATGGCCAGGGTCCGGGTGCCTGGTCTGAGGGAACTGCCTCTGCTGGGGCTCGGACAACACTGCCATGTCACCCCCTGTCATGAGGCCAAAAGCAGCAAGTATGAGCTTTGAGGAGAAGGGAATGAAAGAGGCCATAAGACCATCAAAGACCGTGGAGAAGACAATGGGGGCGTTGTTCCCACCCTCGGAGGAAGTAACCAAAGAAGAACGTGGGCCTTTGTAGGGTGGGTCAGCCCTGCCCAGGCCTGCCCTCTGGTCACCCTCCCTCATCCTTCTGTTTTGTGAGACCTTGGGAAGTGGGGGTAGAGAGGATGAGACAGAAACCTGTGACGCGAAGCTGGATTTTCTGGGGCTCATGGCCTGGCCTGTGGCTGCCACAGCCATAGTCACCGGCATCTTCTGGCCTCAAGGGGCTGATGATGAGGGAGCCATCTGACTGTAGCTGGTACCTGATGGAGGGAGGAGGGACAGGTCTCTGGCCTCCTGACAGCAGTATGAGTCCTCTGACACCCACGCTACCAAACAGCCCCACAGCACTTGGAGCCCTCTCACACTCCCAAGAAATGCCAGAGGCACCTCCACAAGAGAGGACATTGCACCTTCAGGAGATGGAGGGTAGCTATTGCTCACCACACTCTCAGAGCCTCTCACCTGTTGGAGGAGATGGTCTGGCCATCTTTCTGCCACCCTGCCTGGAACTCTGGGGAGGTGTTACCAGGGCAAAAGAGCTGTACTGCCTGCCCGACAGCTGCTTGGACCAAGGAGGGCTGGGAGCCTGCCAAGCTGACCCTGGAGAGGCAAGAGGTGTGTGTCTGCCTCCCGGCACAGGAGCAGGCCACCAGCAAACTGTCTCTTGTAGGTATTTGCAGGGCTAGAGTCCCGTGGGCGACTCCAGCCTTGCCAGCCCTGCCGTACCCCCAGGCATTGCTCCTTAGGCAGCTGTGCAGTAGAGCAAGGCAGGCAGCCCACGGGAGGAGGGAGGGGCTGAGGAGGACCACATGTCAGCACCATGTGAGGAGCCAACCAAGAGGCTCAGCTGTGACATGTGCCCCGTGTTTTAGTTGCTTATTTCCCCAAGCCCCTTGTTAATACGACAGAATAAGTGATAAATAACTGTCCATTCAGGAAATGAAACATTACCACCATTTTACAGGTCAAGAAACTGAGGCTGGGATCTAGCAAGCTTTTTTTGTCTAGACACAGACCTCGGGGTTCAGTAGCTAAAGCAGAGAGAGAATCTGGGAGCAGATAAGCTCAGCTAAGCCTACATCCCCAGAGCCTCGGCATCCCTGTGTGTAGTGTGATGGTGACAAGACCCACCTGGCTGGGCTGTCTGTCTAGGGCTCAGCCCTGGCCTGGGCATCCATTGTCCTTACCTGGGAAGCAGGCCTCACCTGGAGGAGGAGCTACGTGTGGGCAGCACTGGTGGTCTACCCAGTCCGTGGACTCTGGAGCGGGGTTCCTGATCTCCGGGTCGTTTGCCATAGGCTGGGGGATGGGGTACCTCCTCTGGCCCTGGCTCTGGTTCTCTTCGCCAAGGGTTTCCAGGTGAGGGCAGTCTCGGGACTGTGGCTCTTGTCCTGTGCCAGTCAGGTTCCTGCTGGCCTCCAGGACCACGCTGGCCACCGTCCATGTGGATGCGATGGCCAGAGGCTCCTGCCTCAGGATGGCGGGGGCCGTGGTGTCCCTGGCAGCTGTCCATACACTCCTGCTCCGATGCAAAGTTATTGGCATTGCCGTGGCAGCCACCATACCAAAAGCGGTTACACCGGCCCACTGATGCCACAAAGTACCAGCGGGCAGCCCAGTCTCCACACGACCCGGGAGCACTGGGCAGCAGACACCTCACTGGGTAGGCTGTGGATTGTGAATGGAACATGTTACCCAGGTGGCCAGTGGTAACAATGCCCTCTCCCCTCAGCCTTAAGGAACATACCAGTCTTAGTTTACAGAGGGTAGCTCCCACTCTTGCCAGGGTCCCCGACCTCCCCTAGGAGCCCAGGACACTCCCAGGGTCTGTCCTAGACCTGGTTGGGCTGTGTCACAACACCCTGCACCCGTATCAAACTCGAGCCTGCCCCCAGGAAAGAGCTTGAGCCGCTCTCTCATGTCCCTTCCAGCCTGGGTCCCTTGGTATGCACGCACAGACCAGCTAGAGTTTGACGGCACTGTGCCCTCCCCCGAGGGCTGTGAACATGCCCAGTGGAAGACCCGCCCTTGTCCTCATCCCTGGGACCATGTACCAGCCTCTAGCCTGCTTGTCCTCACAAACCCTGCTGGCCAGCATGAATAGCCTGCTCCATCTTTCCATGTTCCAAGTGGCTATGGCTGTCTGTCCTGATACAGCCACCCTTCTGCTGAGCCCTGGGCCACCAGCCTGTCAGACTTCACATACATATTCCCATGACAGACCATTCTGCTCCAGCCTCTACCTTGTCTCTAAAACTCAGCCTCCTCTCCTGACAACACACACCCTACCTCAGGCAGGGGTTAGCCCTACAGCACTGCCCACCTGACCTTACCGCCTGGGCTGATTTTACTTGTATACCCCCCCCCTTTCTGAGACAATTATTTATCTCAGGCTAGCGTTAAACACGGCATAGAGCTAAAAATGACCTTGAACTTCTGATCATCCTGTCTCTCTACCTCTCAAGTACTGGGATTACAGACCTGTACCACCATATCTGGTTCATGTGGCACTGAGGATTGAGCCAGGGCTCCGTGCATGCTGGGCAAACACTCCACCCACTGAGCCGCATCCACAGCCCTGGGAGCTCCATTTATAACCCTCCTCAGTCAAATGCAAACACCATAGATGCAGGAACAATCTACCAAAGTCCTCTGGTCTGGTATCTACTGCCTGCTCAGGTACTGGGGACCTATGAGTCAATGAGGCCTTTGGCTGTGGGTGGGGGATGAGGACCCATCGAGACCCCAGAATCCACCCATTAGTAAGGATGAGAAGGGGTATCCCTCTCACCATAGCTGGGCTGGCCCACACAGCCTTCCCCCAGGGGACCAGCTGCAGAAGCCACGTTGTCATAGCAACAGCCAAACTGGGAGCCACGACAGTCACTGGGTTCACTCTGATGGGCCTGGGGTTGGTGGGTCTTGGGGACCTAGAGAGGAAGTGAGAGGTTGGGAATGAGGAATAACGCTTGCTTCCTGTGGGGAGCTTGGGCTGCCCAGAGGGAGGATGACGGGAAAAGAAAGGGGCAGAGATGAGAACCCACCCAGGCGGGGGGGGGGGAGCCTGGAGGCCACCTCTGAAGCCCAGCTCTTTGAAAGGATGGCCTGGGTTACCAGGTTTGTAGGGGCCTCCCTTTCGCAAGGCTGAAGCTGCAGAGATGCCAGTAGCCCTGAGCTGTGTTCCTGCCACGGGAGCCACCTACCTTGGGAGCCACTGCCCTGGACCCTGGCCTGTTCCCAGCATTGTCACTGCCCAGAGACCTGGTGCAGCCAGCCTGCTGGGGTCCCTCAGCTGCAGACACCCCATCAGGGCAGCATCCGTACCTAGAGAGCACAGAGCCAGCCTCACTGCCCAGCCCGGCCCCCGCGCTCCCAGGGTGGGGAGAGGCTCTGAGGCCGCCGATCACTTAGGAGGCTGTCCGGGTAAAGACCTGCCTGAGAGCCAGTCCTGTGCAGGCCAAACCGCACCTCTGCTTGATGCATGGCGCACCTCCCATCCCCAAACCAGAAAGGGGAATGCACCTGCACAAACAAGGGGCTCCCAGAACAATTCCAGTCCACCATTGATCTTCCACCAACCAGAGGGTTTGAAGCAAGGTGAAGGGAGGGCCGCCTCCCTCACAGCCTCCCTCAGCAGCTCCCATGGTTCCCAGCCCTCAGAAGAGGAAGCCACCAACAGGAAAGGCACTGGCTTTGTCATCCAGCAAACAGTTGGAAGTCACTGGTCCCAAATCCCAGACCCTTAGCAGTGCAGTCCCTCAGGGACCCGTGCTAGGGAGAGCTCAGAAGAACTGCAGAGAAGGCATTTGGCACAGTGGGGTGGCTCAGCCCCTCCCCTACAAGGCTGAAGGAAGAGTGTTGGTACAAGACTTGAGAGGTGGCCAGCTCCACACTGTGCTCCTGATCCTAGCCTGGGCTGGAGAGGTGAGAGGTGAAATCACCTTTTGTACCTGCTCTGGGCCTCAGGTTACCTACCTCAGGCTGAGTGCATTAGAATCCAGTCAGGAGGAAGAGAGCCCCACCCACACACCCAAACAGCGCAGTCAGAGAGCCTCAGGAATTCTCGGCTGGGCAAGCCTGCCCTGGTCAGGGATGCTGGCCCTGGCCAACGTGGCCCAGCCCCACCCTCCTTCTGAGGGTGCTGAGGAAGAGCTGTCCCAACCCACCTGCTCTGAAGACACAAGGCCCCAGCCAGGGGACAGCCTTGCCACTGCGGCCCAAGAGATGGTGTGCGGCCATCAGGGCAGCATCCGTGGGGGTTGTGTCTGCAGTCACGGGGTCCTGAGCTAGGCCTCAGGGGTGGCCGGTGTGGAGGGTGCTGTAGAGTGGGGACCTGGCCTGCAGCTGACAGGTGGGGGTCCTGGCCCTCCCTGGGTTTACTCTGGGCCCTGGGTGGCTCCTGGGCCGCCCATCGCTGGTCTCTCGCATCTGAATAGGAAGAGAGAAAAAAAAAAAAAATCACTGGTGGACCCACACGCTCCTCACCCTCAGTGTCTATTTTCAAACCACCTTCCTGCACTCCCCCTGTACCAACGCCAGACCAGCGGCCTCACCGGGCGACAGGGCCCTGGGGCAGGCACCCAGCTTCTCACCTGAGACTGGGGACATCCTGGGGCCTGAAGGGTGGATCCGTGAGTCCTGTATGCTAGGGACCTCTGTGGGGAACCAAGTAATGGGTGTAGAGGGCAGAACCAGAGAAAGGCAACACCAGAGATGAAAAGGAAGATTCCCAGCCCTGAAAACACAACCCAGCAGAGACTTTGTGCCTGTACTGGCCTTAAAGTCACAGTCCTCCTGCCTCGGCCTCTCGGGCGCAGGGATTACCGGAATGTATCAACACATACCGGTATCAATGTATCATATGTATCAATGATTTCTTTCAGCTTTTCTACACGTCTGAATGTTTATTTAGGTTTTTCCAGACAGGGTTTCTCTATAACAGCCCTAAGCTGTCCTGGAACTAGTTCCGTAGACCAGGCTGGCCTCGAACTCAGAGATCTGCCTGCCTCTGCCTCCTGAGCACTGGATTAAAAGGTGTGTACCACCAGCACCTGGTGAAATTTTTTTTAAAGATTTATTTATTGTGCATATAATGTTCTGCCTGTATGTACATCTCCATGTCAGAAGAGGGCACCGGATCTCATTACAGAGACGGTTGTGAGTTGCCACGTGGTTGCTAGGAATTGAACCTGGGTCCTCTGGAAGACCAGCCAGCTCTCTTAACCTCTGAGCCATCTTTCCAGCCCTGTGAAATGTTTTTTAATCTGGTTGAACTTAGAGGATCCTATTAGACTGGGTGACTTGGGACCATGCCAGCTGAGAGGACACTGGCCTAGCATGAACCAGGCCCTGGGTTTGAGCCCCAACACCCCAAGAGAAAAATAGATTTTCATGGTTTTGAGTAGCTAATAGTCTTAATGAAAATGCTAGATCTTTTTTTTAATTGTAGAAAATCAGAGAAATAGGAAACTAACAGGGTACTCCCCCCAAACAGTCAGCGTATCTTAATGGGGGTGGGGTCCTCCTGCTTTTCCACAGTAAGTGTATGCCGATGACAGTTAACACAGACCCCTGAATGAAGGGCACTGCAGTGCATCCACAGAGAAAGTGCTCGGGCTCTGCGGCTGTGAGGGCAGCAGTCCCAGATCCACAAAAAGTGACCTGAGAGTTCAAGGCCAGCCAGGGATACATGGTGAGAACCAGCCTTTAAAAAGGACAACCCAGGGCTGGAGAGATGGCTCAGCGGTTAAGAGCACTGCCTATTCTTCCAGAGGACCTGAGGATCTGAGTTCAATTCCCAGCACCCACATGGTGGCTCACACCATCTGTACTGAGATCTGGTGCCCTCTTCTGGTGTGCAAGCAGAACACTGTATACATACTAAGTAAATCTTTGTTTTAAAAGGAATAATTCAAAATGTAATTGTGGGGAGGTTGGAAAGATCATCGGGCAGTTAAGAGCATCAGCTGCTCTTCCAGGGGACCCAGGCATTGGAGTCCCAGCACCCACATGGTAGCTTGTAACCATATGTGACTCCAGGTCCAGGGGATCGAGTGCTGTCTTCTGGCCTCTGCAGGTACCGTGCATACACAAGATGCATAGATGTACATGGGAGCACAATACCATACATACAAAATAAAATCCAGTTTTAAAAGGCATCTCTAGGTCTGGTGTGGTGGTACACACCTGTAATCCCAGCCCTCGGAGGGAGGAGACAGGAGGTCATCCTTAGCTATGAGTTTGAGGCCAGCCTAGGCTACATTACACCCTGTCTCAATAATAAATAATAATAAAGCATTACTCTGCCCATCCCCCTTTTCCAGTGCCCAGGGCATCACACACACTAGGTGCCACCACCCTTTTTGGCTCATGGATTCCTGCCTTCTGCTCCCTGGGTGTGGACCAAATTTGCCTCTCAGGGCTTGCCCCCACCCCAGGGCTCCCACATTGTGCCCCATGACAGCCACCCTTGCTGCCCTTGTCCAGGAGAAAGGAACCACACTTGTAGTCAGAATGCCGGTGTCTGAACCAAGCCTGCAGCTCCCGAGACCCTGCCACACTCCTCCACTGGAGTCCTGCCGTCCCCAAGCGGAGGTGCCCATCCATATCTCAGAGTCCCCACAAACCAGCACTTCAAGGACAAACCTGTCCTCCCATCCTAGCTCAGCCGCCACCCTGACTTTCTTCTCACATCCACACACCAAGCCCTTCCTTGTGTAGTCTGCATGCCTAAGAATCCGCCTTCTCCAGAGGGATGGGCTGCGGGGGTGTAAGGGAGGACAGACAGGCAGAAGCAGTATGCCTCCTCTCTTGGTCCATTCAGCAAGCAGTTGAGTATAGGTACCAGATACTGGGGTACAGGTACAGTTCTCGGTACACTGGGGGTGGGGTGGGGTGGGGAGAGTAGACACAAGAACAGGAAGCCACGGACCCAGCCCTCGGGAAGCTAAGGGCAGCGGGACCATACGGAACAAGGAAACTACTGGAAAGGCGGCATATAAGACAGCGCTGGGTGGGTGGGTCTAAGGCTCACAGGGCTCTGCAGACAGCTCTGGCCCGAGGTGTGGGAAAGCAGCCAGGGAAAGGCCCCAAGCAGGGGGTGCACACCAAAGAGGCAGCCCGGGAGAACGGGGTGCACCCTCCCTGCCCTGTCCTCACCCTGAGGAAGATGGCAAGGCTGGCCGTTGCAGGGTTCCACCTCGGCGGGCTTGGACGACTGCAGGTCCCCACAGTGACCGGGCGGCCCAATGGCACAGGTGACGCGTCGTCTCCGGGTTCCCAAACCACAGCTTTTAGAGCACTGAGGACCCAGGGTGGGGAGGAGTGGGGAGAAAGAGGCCCTGAGGCCAGAGACACCTAAAGAAGAGGGAGCTAGTGCTCTTGGCAGCCGTGTGTGCAGCCTTCCAGGGCCCCAGGGACCAGGGCCGGACAGCCACACCAGGAGGGGACAGACACTTACTAGACTCCAGGAGCCCACGTGCCAGGCCTGGCCACGGAGCACAGGACAGGCCTCTTGCACACAGGGCTCAGTGGAGGTCGGCCGGTCCTTCAAGGGGCACGCTGTGCCGTGGACCAGGGGCTCCTCAGGCCCCTGGCAGGTGACACTCCTCTTCCTAATACCGGTTCCACAGGTCACAGAACACTGTAAGGACAGGCTATCAGCAGGACCGTCCCCCAGGGGCATCATGTCAGTGAGGCCAGATGGAACGCTACCAGTCTGGCTTAGAGGCCACTCTGCTGCCCTTATCTCACTCCTAAGCCCAGAGAGGCTGAGTCACTGCTCTGAAGTCACACAGGCTGGGAGACTTCTTATTTTTGCTTATGTGTGTATGCGGCTCTCTGTGTGTGTATGTCACTTGTGTGGGGGTATCTGTGACACCAGAAGAGGGAGTCAGATCTCCTGAAACTGGAGTTATAGGCGGTTGTGCAAAACTTGACACAGGTGCCAGGAATCAAATTCAAGTCGTTCTGGAGGAGCAGCAAGTGTCCTTAACCACTGAGCTGTCCCCGTGGCCTCCATGCCCTGTATTTGCAACTTAGGTGCAGGAGGCAATGCCTCACCCTCAGCCCCAAACACACCCTGCTGTCTTCTAGCCAAAACAAACCCTTTCCCATCTAGCCCTGGGATGCTGAGACAGGAGAACCCTGGACCAGAGTCTAAACGTTGCATCTCATTCATTCCAGCATCGGCCACATCTTCCACGATGACCAGCAGCTAGGTCCCTTACCCTGAGGACCCAAGCTTCCTTCCACAGCAGAAGACAAGCCTTTCAAGCCCAGGCCTGCTGCTACCCAGGCCCTAGACGCAGCTCCTAGTCCTAGGCAGGGCCTCACCTCTCCCCAGGGTTCCACACTCCAGGCTGCACAGCGCTGCAGGTTGCAAGCCTGTTGGGCAGGGGGCTTCCCAGGTAGACCAGCACACTGAGTCTCCTCAGCAGCTTCCTGGCCACCAGTCCCATCTGAGGATACGCAGTAGACAGGACGAGACTGGAATCCACCTCCACAGGAGACTGAGCAGGGTGTCCATGGTCCTACCTTCCAGCTGACAAAAAAAAATTAGAAACAGGTAAGTCTGGCACAGGAGGTAGCAGCTCCCCTAGAACTCTGTGGAGAGACCACCAGCCAGGCCCTCCTAGGCATTCCCTGGCTCACTGGCCCCTGAAGGGCCTTGATTATGTAATAGACAGCCTGGCTGCTGCCCCTCAGCTTTCTCTTTCTCCTTCTCTCTGGGTCCCGGCATCCCAGCCAGACCCCTTGCCTTGCCACGTGTGGGGGCATCTCCAGAAAGGCCCTGCCCTTATATGTGGAGAAGCCCTGCCTGGCTGGGGGTACAAGGGCAAAGGAAAGGGAAGCCCCAAACACACCATGCAAAGCCAAGCCCACCACCGTCTCACCAGGCCAGGAGGGTAAGGGTACCGACACCAGCCCTCCAGGAACCCCGTGGCCCAAGGATTACCTGTTCCCACACACATGCTGGGCCCCAGAATGGCGCCACGCTCCGGGTCGGTGCAGGAAAGAGATCCTTTGTACACGAACAAAGGCATTTGCCAAAGTCTACTGGCCCTCTGGCCAAATTCCTGCCTCAACCCCGAGGCATCTGTTTGAACCCCCTGATGCCTCAATACAAGAACCTTCTGGCACCTGTCCCCGATCCTCTTGCTCCCAGCCTAGGTACCTCGACACTGTGAGGAGAGAGCTGTCCTGGGCCTCGTGCTCAGGCCCACTCACACCGGCTCCCTCTGTGACAGCTGCCACCAACGTGAAGATCCCTGCCCCCCAACTTCTTTGGCCTGTGCCTAAAATGGTTTAGGGGCTCCCCTCCATTCCCACCCAAGTTTTTGGGCCCCACCATAGGTAGAAGGGGCTGGCAAGGCCTCACCGCTTAGACTTTGGGCAAGGGTGAGGATTGCAGGAGCGTCGGTGTGCTGGCCGAGGCTGGTGCTGGCACATGTGGTCTGGGTAGGCCTCGTTGTCAAAGGTGCAGAATACCAGGCGAGACTGGTGGCCTGTTGGGAACAGAGCCACAAACAGCTGAAAAGTAGACCAAGTACTGGTAGACCAGTACTCTCCAAATGAACTCACTAGTCGTCAGGCACCCTTCTGGACTTGACCCACAGCTTGCCCCGATTAAGTCCCATGTGTCCTTCTGTGACAGGTCCCACCATCATAACCTACTTACAGAGGAGTAAAGGGAGGCTCAAAGAGCCTTAAGTGTGAGTGACAGACCCTGGTCACAAGGCTCGAGGCCTGGCCTCCAACCACAGTGGGCATCTCATCCTAGGAGATCTCCCTTATCTTAGCAAAGCCCACAGTCCTTCATGGGGATGTCTAACTTTCTCCACACATGGAGGTGTCCCTCCCAGGTAGCACTGCCTTGAGGACAGGACTGTAACTTGCCAGCCCATGTCATCTCTTTGTCCTCCCCAAGACCCCGGTGATCACCTCCACCGCACTCAGCACTGCAGTCACTCCAGGAGCCGTGGCTCCAGCTGAAACCCTGGCTGGGGTCATTCAATGGCAGGTAGTACTCGTAATGCACACCGGGGTTGGGCTCCTGGCTGATGAGCTGCAGAGAGTCTTGGCTGAAGTTCCCATACCTGGCCCATGGTAGCCCCAACTCCTGTACAGGGGCACCCATCCTCTCTGTGGCCCACTCACCTCGATGACCAGTGGCTCTGAGGTGGGACCCCGTGCATGGAGCCGCTCAGGGGCTAGGTCCCCCTCCACACCCCGTTCATACTGTAGGACCGTGCTGGCCACTGGCAGAGCTTGGGCTGCCTCAATGGTCCAGTGCCCATTGAGATAGTACTCTCCGCGGATGCTCTTCACGGCTGTAGAGACCCAGCCTGTCAGGGGATGTGGAGCAGCCAATTGCCTCTCCAGCCCCAGGCTGCCCAGCTCCAAACCATCTCTCACCCAGGAAATTCCTGCTGGCTGCAGCTTCTTCAATGTGAATACTGGTGGCCCCCGCAGGAATGATGAAGATTTGGTTATAGCCTGATTAGGACAAGATTCCAGTGAGGGGTGCTGGGTTGGAGCTGGGAAGAGTGCTTTTGGCAGAGGAACTAGCTTTACAGAGGTCGGGGGAGCTGGGAGTAAGCTCTAGTCACTGGGACATCTTAGGAGGGGGAAAAACAGCATGGGGACAAGGACAAGGTGGGGGAGGGTTGAAAGCAGGCATCCAGGGTCCACCGTGTGAGCTTAGACTGGCTGCACACGGGGGTAAGGAACCCAACCAAGGTGGGCACATGAGGATTGTGCTGGGAGGGGTACAGCCTCTGCCTTGCAGCCACATGACCCGAGTGCCAAGGGATCACTTGGCCTCAAGCCTTCCTTGGTGAGAGAAGGTGACAGGCAAGCCAAGGCAGGCAACAGACCCCTTCAGAGCCCCCTGTGTGGCCCCCACCTCTGCTGAGATCATTGGCATCAAAGGTTCCTGTGACAGGGTAGCAGGTTGAGCCATCACCCCCACATTGCAGACACTTGTCCTCCTCCTTGGTGGAGTCTAACTTGTGATCACAGCCAACAACCTGCAGGGAGGATAGGGAAGAGAGGGCAAGATGAAAGCGAAGAGACATGGTTCCAAATGTCCCCAGCAGGCCAGCAGGGCACAGAGTGACCGACATCTACTCATCTGTCTACTCACACCCATATGGTCCTGTCTCTCCCAGTCTAGATGGAACTCCACAAACGTGGGTTTGGGCATGCCAGAGAGTTATTATTCCCTCCTTTCCTCAGAGAATGACTCAGGTGAGCCCAGGCTAACAGGTCAGAGAGCTGGGACCCCTGGGAGCCCATAGGCTGGTATGGGAGAGGCCTTGAGCTGCCATCTTGTTGCAAGCTCATGAAAAGAGCCTACATGAGCCTGAGATTGACTCAGAGGAGAAGAAGGGAAGAAATGGTGAGAGGAATTTAGCATCTTTCCATCATCTACAGCCATCCTTCACATACGATCGGGTTGATTAAAGTCATCTTTAGCCATCTGGAGTTTCCTTCATGAGGTTAGTGCTCTCCTGGGCAAAGCTGAGGTAGTCAGAGAACATCTTTAATGACTGCATTGCATTCTGGGAGCTAGTGACTTAAGAAGCCACCAAGCTCCTCACAGCCACTTGGTCCTGCTGGTGCTGGAAGAAGCCAGCCACAACCATCCCCAGCCAGCTTGAAGGCCAGGCAGGGGTATAACTCACTCGGCAGATGCCATCCACACAGATGTCCCGCTTGCCAGGCTCGCAGTGTGTACCATCCATCACGGCCTCCTTGTGTTTGTAGTAGAAGTTCTCCCCCTTGGGAATGCAGTTCAGTTCGCATTTGTTTGGGGCTGGGTAGACAAGAGGAAAAAGCTGATGTTTCCACATAGAAAGCGGTTTGAATGAAAAATGTCTCCCGTAGGCTCATGTATTTGAACACCTGGTCCCCAGTTAGTGGTGCTGTTTAGGGGGGTTGTGAAACGTGGAGGAAGTACATCACTTCCGGTTTGAGTTATTTGTGTGTGTGGTTGAAATACGATCAGCCCGATTCCCAGTCTAGCCACCAGTTATTATGAACTCTCCCTCTGGAATCATAAGCCCAAATAAACTCCAAAAAATTAACTAACCCCTGAACATCTGTTGGGGGCTGGGTAGGCAAGAGAGAGAAGCTGAGATCCTAGCACATGGCCTTCTAAGAAACCCCAAAGAGGTGTGGGCAGTGGCCAAAAGTGCGCTCTCGCCAGGAGAGAAGGCTCTGACAGCAAGCTCCCAAAATGGCACAGAATCCCAGCCCATGCCTTTAATCCCAGCACTCAGGAGGCAGAGGCAGGCAGATCTCTGAGTTCGAGGCCAGCCTGGTCTACAAACAAGTGCCAGAACAGATTCCAAAGCTACACAGAGAAACCCTGCCTTGAAATCCCTCTCAACCAAAGATTAACTGTTCATATGTGTGCATACATGTACAGGTGCCATGGAGGCCACAAGGGGGCTGGGGGCTTGAGATCCCCTGGCACAGGAGTTACAGGCGGTTGTGAGCCACCTAACATGGGTGCTGGGAACCAAACGCAGGTCCTCTGCAGCTTAGAGCAAGCGGTTAACTACTGACTCATCTTTCCACCTGCCCCTTATCATCATCACCATTATTAGCGAGCACGAGTGTGTGTGTGCAGTGCAGGGGTGTGTGTGCAATGAAGGTGTGTGTGTGTGTGTGTGTGTTGTGGTCAGAAGACCATTTCCAGGAGCCAGTTCTCTCCCTCTATTATGGGCCCCGAGACTCTAAATCACATCACCTGGCTCCTAGCACTCTTCCTGCTGAGGCATCTTCACCCGCCCCTCCCCTCACCGCTCCGTTTAGCTTCTACTCTATATTCCAAGTTTTCTATTTATAGCCATGTATAGAGGCTATTTTCTTGTATTTTGGTGGGGGGGTGGAAGAGGGGCTTCCTGATATGGGTGATGGGACTCGAACTCATGTTCTCCAGGAGAGCAGCCAGTACTCCAGTCCCATGTAAAAGTTATTTTTAACATATGTCTCAGGAGTACTGCATGCTGAAGGCCCCCGGGAGGGGGGCATTTCTCTGGCCATGGTGACTCCAGGACCACAGGGGGCACAATGTTAGTGTTGGAAATTAGTGTGCAATGTCTCTATGGATCATTAGCAGAGAAAAGCAATGCCCCGGACTTTTCCCGAGGCTTGTGTTTTTAATCTTTGTTTTTAGGCTGGGTATCACCAAGCGACCAGGCTGGCTTGAAACTCCTGGAATTCAGCATGTAGTCCAGGCTAGCCTCAAACTCCTGACACAAGCACTGAGGTGGCGGTATGCACCGCCATCCGGTTTTTGTTTTTTGTTTTTTTTTTTTTTAAGTTGTGGTTGTGCTAGGGTCTTGTGCATGCTAGGCACACGCTCTACCGCGGAGTCAAAACCCTAGCTCCTAAGACATCATCTGGCCACTCCAAAATGATTCAGATTCATACACAATGGTGTTCTTTTCCTGAACCCCATCCAGCATTCCTCACGCAGGTCTGGGTGGATGGACACAGTTGGCCCAAGCTCTTTCCCACCTTTGGCACTATTGTCCCCAAGCATCATCACCATGCCTCCGTGGGACCCCTCAATCCACACCTCTGTGCAACAGTGGGGAAGCATCAGAACTGAACAAGCCAGGCCGGAGACACACACAATAGAGCTTCAATACTGAAAATGCATATGGAGGAGAAAAGGCTGGAAAGCGCTATCCACACGCCTGTTACTGGGTTAATGCGGGCGCGCTAAGGACTAGGTCATTGTCTGAGCCACAAGGCATCTTTGAGGGGGCGATAAGAACTTTCAGTGTGCTGCTTTGACTGGTGACAAGGAATGGAGCTGCGACCTGCAGAGCCAGCACAGCAGGGTAGCACGCTTACCCGCATAGTAGGGCAGCCACCGGTAGCGCCGGCCCTGGAAGTCGGTGCCGTCGAACTCTGCGCACTGCTCGGCCCGGAAGTCCCGCATGCCATCCGGGCAGTTCTGCGTGGGAACATAGATGCCAGTGTGGGTACTGGAGAGGTTGCCATCCTGCCCTATTCACCCTGTGTCCTGGAGCCCTGGGGTCCTGTGCCTCTGTCCCATCCACCCACCCTGTTCCCAGGAGAGGTCACCAACTTCAAGTGCCTGGCAGGTCAGAAGCAGGCTGAGGGTGTGGCTGGGAAGCGGGGCTGTGGGGAGCAGGGCCCACTCAGGCTTTACCTCCGTGTGGCAGATGCGGTGGCTGCGCGTGGGGCCCACACAGCTGGCGCCTCCATCTCTCCTAAGGGGCGAGAGCATGGGGAAGACCCCAACATCCCCACCCATTCATCTCCACAGGGCACCCTGATGGATAAGGCTGGACCAGAGTCCCGGGCAAGGTACACTCAGAACCAAATCCCTTGGGTGAGTGTAACCATGTCCTTAGGCTGACTGTCCGTACCCTTGACCTGACTCCTGGCCACAAGACCCTGGAACTTTACATACTATACCCCTACTATACCTGTGGTTTCGATCTGCAACTTAGTAATAAATACTCCAGGATGTTTGGAGTTTTGGGTTTTTGTTTGTTTTGTTTTGTGAGACAAAGTCCCCGGTTGACTCTGTGGCTGAGGATGACCTTGAACTTCTGACCGTCCTGCCTCTACTTTCTTGGTGCTAGGATTAGTCGCTTGTCTTACTCCATAGGTTCTCAGGAAACAGTTCACAAACTCACCAGTAGGGGGCGCATCATTACCTCTCCTTGGCACCTGACCCCTCACCACCACCCCCAATCAGAGCCCCTAGTAAATTCTAAAGTCACTGCTTGACAGAGGAGCTGAGGCAAAGGAATCGCTGCAACTAGGAATTGGGGGCTAATGTTATAGATGGGGATGTGACAGCCAGCCCTAACCAGTCCTTAGAGTGCTCAGACCTGAGGAATAATTTTCACAGGTCCCCTGTGTGGGGTGGCGAAAGAAACTAATATGGAGCCAGGCATCCCTTAAGGGCTGTTGACCTTTTGCCCTGGAATGCCTGGAGATCTTAGTGGCCTGCAGGTGATGTGAGAATGGGATAATGGGCTGTGAGGTGTTAAGTTGCCTTTGCATCCTTAAAACCTGCTGTCGCTATGGAAAGGGGTAGAATGGTCGTTTCGTTGCTACATAGCCGGGAAGTCAGAAACCCCTGAGGGAAGTAAAACAGCTGCCCAGCTGTGGATTCCATGGATAGCTGTAATGTGCACCTTCCTGATGGCCACCTTAAAACCTCTGGCCAAAACCCCCCTTCCACACAGCATACTGTTTGGCTTTAAGGCTGCCCGTCCTTCTGCCAGTAGTAAGAATAAATTCGTCTAATCTAAATTTGAATTGAGTCTTAAGTCTCTAGTTTCTCCCAGTGGATTCAAACGCACCACACATTAACTCTGCAAATGAAGCCCCACCCCACCCCACCCCACCCCCAGGTACTGGGTAGAGGAGGCAGACATGGCCCAGCTCCTCTTGATCTAGGCCAAGTGTTGGAATCAAGGTGAGTACATGGGAAATAATTTGTTTTCCTATGCGCCATCACTCTTCCACAATAAATCCGGCACATAATGGTCCTGATGACAGCCTCCCACCCAGCAGGCAGCCAGCCATTCCTCACTTGCCATCTGTCAAGCGGCTGGTGGGCTGTAGACCTCCCCGCCCTACCTCTGAGAGTAGCAGGGCCGCTCCCGGAAGCTGATGCCTCCCCCGCAGGTCCGGCTGCAGGGGCTCCATTCACCCCAGGAGCCCCAGGTGTCACTCTGGCGCCTCACATTTTGAGCCTGTGAAAGACATGCTCTGGCTGTGACTCACTGTCAACACACACACACACACACACACACACACACACACCTCGGGACTTGAACCCAGAGCGCTCCCTGCAGAGATGTTCCCCAACCGGTTCAAAGAGCCTGGGGCCTTCCAGTACTGCCTGTTTAGGACACAGGAAGTACCACCGGGTACTCCAAAATGTTCATTGCAACTTAACCTGCCGTCCTAAGGAGTGGGAGAGCCAGCCTAGCTGTGACCGAGCTGGGAAGAGCCTGCAGTTCCGGGGGCTCTGGGGAAGGGGCCTTGTAGTGCGGGCTTTTGTGGGTTGACTCTAATGTAGAAGAAAGGACCCTGCAGGAAAAGGTGCCTCCATGCATTGCGCTGGACACTACTCAGCTGCGGTCTACTCATCTAGCATGGTAGCCATGAATTCTGGGTGTCAGCCAGTTGTGGCGGACAGAGCTGTCTCCCCTGACTATGCTATGCTTTGGCTTTGTGTCCCTCGAATGGAGCCTGTGGATCAGCAGGCCCATCCTTTTCAAGAGAGACCTCTAAGGGATGGGACAGATCATGGCAGGTCATCAGGTAGGTTGACCTCTATCTGTTCAGGGAGTGTAACCAAGACAGGACAGAATGCCAGTCGGCTTCCCCGGAGAAAATCCACCCCAAGTCTAGTTGTGCCTCTTCTGCTCTGGATGTGTGAGCTCACTTCCAGAAACTTCTATAGTTCTGACCTATTAAACTAGCACTTCATGTGGGTTGGGGTGAGATGGGACTATAGTATCCAGTTCATCAGAGGCAGAGACTCCTAAGGGTCCTCTGGCCTCTGTAAGAGAATCTGAAAGCTTGGCTCCTGGCTCAGTTCTTAGTTTCCTGTAGTTTACTGGCCCCAACCCTCAGTTCTCATCCACGGCACATAAATACAAGTGTTGGGCAGCAGTCTCTAGTACTCTGTGAAGAGACAGCGGACCGGGCTTGCCTTCCTCTTCCTCGACTCTCCTTCCTGCTGGGAAAGGTGATGTAGAGCAGGAACAGCAGTTCAGACTGGGAAGTGACTTGGAATAAAGGCCTCAAACTGTGAGGACTTTGTGAAATGAAAACAGCTCTTAACTTCTGACCCCTGAGTGTTTACACGAGAGGTAAGAAACCCTGTCTCTCAACAAACAAACAAAAGAAATTAGCAATGGAAACTCATTATGGACCTGACACCTTACAGCCAGCATCCCATGACCACACGGGTACACACACTCTGTCATCTAACCTCATAGCCTAATAACTCCTAAGGCGTTGGAAAGGGCATGGCACCATACACTATAGGCTGTGTCCCCACCAGCCTGGGGGAGAGGCAGCCAAATGAGTCACTGGATCCTGAGGAGCTAGACAAGGGTGCAGAACAGCCCTGTAAACATGTCCCATGTGCTGAAAGGGGACTTTTGAGATGTCACCGCAGGAACCTTTAGGAAATTTAACTCCCATTGTTTAGAAAGAAGTGTGAACAAAGAAAAAAACCCTTCCCCAACTTGGAGCCTCACAGCTAGCCAGTCTGAGGTGAGCAGGGATGTTTACTGATGTCTAACACCAAATACCTTATTCCTCTTGTTTTTATAGACCACGATTCAGAGGCAGAGCAAACCGCACCAAACTTGCTAACCACAGGCAGAGCCAAGCACAGGCCAGCCAGCCAGACCAAAGGTCTTGCCTCACTGTAAATCATCCACTCCTCCAGCTCCAGTCCTAGCTGGAACAGAACCTCCAGGCTTTCCAAACCAGCGAACCAAAATGCTCAGGTATTCATTCTGGCAACAAAATGTAAACTGGTTTTATTCGGCTTGAGTTTCTGTTTTGAAGGGAAGAGCCACTTATTGTGTGGTAGGTGTTGTGGTAACTTTCCAGGCTGGGATCCTGACCCATGTGACAGTCAGGCCTTGCTGTCATGTGATAAGTACTAGCATGTGGCCCCTGGTGGCCTGCTGCCCTCGCACGCACGCCTGTCTGGTGTTGACCCTGCCCAGGGTCTGGTTTGGATGCTTGTCTAGGCTCCTTGGTGCAACAGCCCCCAGAAATTCAGCAAGGTAGGGACAACTCCTGTGCCCGCAGCTCTGGCCATGGAGGCATTCTAGGATGTCTGACTGGTAGGGGAGTGGTCTGAACTTAGGGCCACACTCCTGCCAGGTGCTTTTCCAGACATCCCTTGCTTCCCGAGACCAGAACCTGTAGGTTGAGGTACCCTACTGGTGCAGGGTGAACCCTGGTCCATACAATACTGAACCTTTCCGCAAACATCACGTCAGGAGCAGTGTGAGCACATTTTGTTCTCCGTAATTATCTAAACTCCAAGCTGTGTGGTGGTAGCAAGCCAGGAGCCGGTGTGGCCCAGCCCTGTTCTGGGCCTGTTCCCACCTGCCTGGGGCTGCTCCCCACCCTTCTACCTCCAGCTCCCGCTCAGGCTCACGAGCCCCTTCCCTGCCCGTTTCTAGAAGACTCGGTGCCTGCTGTGCACACCAGGATGTGTGGGAAGGAGATGGAGACACTGGCAAGGGACTCACAGCCTCCCCTTTAACTATTCATCCTGTCATTCTGTCTAGTCAGCCCTGACAGGGACCCTGGGGTGATCAGGACCCATGGTGGATCCTGCCATGGTAGAAGGAGCTGAGTGAGCCTGGACCATCCCTCTCCACCACACAGAGGACAGGGCAAGACCTCAACCTCATCTTCGCCTTTCATGCTGGAGGCGGAAGGCCACTTAGAGTTCCTTACCCAGAAGAAGGGACCTTATAGGCTCCAGCGTACTTTGTAATCATGGATTCGTCTGTGAGACAGCATGTGATGTGGTGTGAACACTAGATTCATGGAATTCGCTTGGTCTATCTATGGCCTGGGGAACGGGCTGGAATCAAGCAGCTATTATATATATATGGAGTGGCTCTAGGGCTCTGGGATCTCACCCCGGGGGTTTTGATGTAGTCATGGAGAACCTCGGCTGGCGGAGGGGACGGGGGTGCTTCCCCTGCAAGCCGCTAAGTCACCAGCATTGCTGGAGAGCTCCAGAGAGGTTCTAGAGAGGGCTGGAGGCTGGCACCGGTGGCTTATGAATGAGGAAGGGGCTCCGGCCTACCAACTCCCTGGCGTGCCTATGTGTCAGGAATGAACTTTTGGGGGGCTGCCCCATGTCTACCACTGACACCCACCCTGCCTGCCTTCCTCACTCTCCACCCATATTACCATAGAGGTGGCACTGCCCCCTTTCCTTCCGGGAAAGTTTTTTTCTCTTTAAAAGGGAGGAGCCTTGGTAAGTGTTTTATGGCATCAGCCAGGCCTAGGACTGTACCCATTCTTGCCAACCCTGCAGACTGCCCCTTTAGGAAACTTAAGCACCCCAGATGGCCATGGTACCCCGGCTTGTGAAGGAGCTGGAGCGATGCAGGCTCAACTCTCCTATGTCTAGTCTTCCCTGCATTGCCTATCTCCTGCCCCTCCCCCATGGCTCCCAAAGGAGCTTCCCAGGGCCCAATGGGGTCACACTCACCCAAGACCCTGAAGTGGAGACCAGCAGCAGGAGCGTGAGAAGGAACAGCTGCATCTCTGTGTGCAGAAGAAGTCACGGGTTAGAGCCAGAGGGGCCACCGCAGCTGCCCAAAGTGGTGACTCCTGCTATGTGGGTGGGATGTTCCTCCCTCAGAGACTGGGTCTGCTGGGTGCACCACGGTGACAACATGTCACGCAACTCACACACAAGGGAGAGAAGGCTTGGTCGGCAGCGGGCAGAAGCACAGGAACAACTTGTTTTGGAATTCCAGAGGGGAAAAGAATGGTTTAAAATATTGCTGTGTTGTTGAACTAAATGAGCCAGGAATCAAAGTAACCAGACCGTTAAATTCAGTAAGAAATTAAAAGGCCATCTCATCCCATTTAAAAAAAAAATAGATTTGCTGTCAATTTTCATCACCCAAAATAAGGGTGTGTGTGTGTGTACATGTGTGCGTGTGTGCAGGAGTGTGGAGATCAGAGGTTGATCGTGCTGTCTTCCTCAGCTGCTCTCCACCTATGTTTTGAGACAGTGTCTCTCTGAACTTGCAGCTCAGCTTTTTCTGCAAGGCTAACTGGCCAATGGGTGGGAGGGATCCGCCTCCCTCTCCTCCCCCCAAGGCTGAAGAGCAGCTGCCAGGCAGCTTTACCGAGAGTCAAAGGGACCTGGATTCAGGTCTGCATGCTTGCATAGCAAGCATTTCACTAACAAGGTCATCTCCCCAGCCTCATCAGAAAATATGTGCGTGTGTTGGCGGGGGTGGGGTTGGGGGGAGTTGGGGGGGGACGGTGTCTGAGGATAGTTTAAAAATTCAATTGCAGGACTGGAATGATGGCTCAGCAGTTTATATTACTGGCTGTTCTTTCAAAGGACTCTGGTTGGATTCCCAGCATCCACATGGCTGGGAGGTCACAACTGTCCATAACTCCAGTTCCAGAGGATCAAACACCATCACACAAATATACATGCAGACAAAACACCAATGCTTGTTAAAAAAAACAAAAACAAAAAAAAAATATATATATATATATAAATTGCAGCCTGGTGGTGGTCTACAGAGCTAGCTCTACAAAGACCCAACCAAAAAAATAAACAACTGCTTATCCAAGTGTGGTGTGGGGTGCGTGTGGTTTATAGAGTGGGTACCTTGTAGTCCTAGCCACTGGGAGGCTGAGGCAAAACTACCACTAGAAACCAGGACTTCAAGGCCAGTCTAGGCAGCCCACTCCAGATTCAATTGCTTTTAAATTTTAAATCAGGCCTTGAGATGCAGTTCCTGCTCAACTATGCTGAGACCCTGATTGGCTCCCCAGCACCGACCATGTTTCTTCTTCCCTGCTCCCCTCTCCCTTCTCCTCCTCCCTCCTCCCCCTCCCCCCAGTTTCCCGTTTTAAACCCAAGCCAACCCAGGAAAGCTTCCTTCAGTCTTCATAAGGAGTGTGTGCACCCCCGAACCCAGAGTTGTGTGCAGCGTGTGAGCACACACATGTGAGTTCATGGTAGTGGTATGTGCACGTGTGCACTAAGTGTATGTGCAGTGCGGGGTGTGCTTGCATGTGTGCACATGTCTCTGTAGGAGAGACACGTAAGCAACGTGCAGTTCAGTACAGAACATTCAACAAGCGCTGACAGGTATGTTTAGTATTAAAATCTGTACTTCTACCGATGTTCTGAATTCTTTTAGAATAAAACGATTTGCACTCATTTTATGGGAATGAAGTACAGCATACAAAAGCAACGTTGAGCAAAGTTTACCCCGGTACATGGATGGAAGTAAGCCCCGGTTAATTTGGCACACAAACAGCAAGTCATTCAGTCATTCTCATCAGCAGAGATTCCTGGGTTTGGCAACACCTCCTGAGGGACCAGGGGTTGTGGGCGCAGCCCTGAGCAAGGGCTGGTGAATGGGCGGGGAGGTGGGTGAGCTTCACCAGAGAGACTGAAGACGAACGGATTAAGAAGTTCCATTCACTGCAGGCACTGCCCAGGACTGCGACCCCTATTCCAAAGTCCTGAGAGCTTGACAGTTTTCCTTCTCGCAAATCAAAGCCACCCCTGAGTCCATCAGGAGGACTCTCCAAACCTCGAGTCCCCGCCCCGGGGTGGCATCGCGTGTCCCCAGAGGCACTGAGGTTCCCTGAGGGCCCTGGGAGCCTGGCAGGTGCTGGCTGTAGCTGGGCTCTCTACCGCACCGCATGTCCCCAGGGGGTGTCGTGGATCTACCCCGAGACTGTGCCCCGGAGAGGCGGGTGGGGTAGGAAGTAACGCTGTTCTAGAGGATCAGCAGTCAGGACAGTGGGGGACCAGATCACCATGCCCGATACTGGGTGGAGCTGAGAACCTCTTCGATGCCCACCTCGGCCACCACATAGCTGGAGAAGGGGGTCTCCCGGGGGGGGGGGCTCTCACTTCCCACGCCACTGAGACCTACCCAAGCCAGGAGAGGCAGATGCCTGGGGCAAGCCCTGCCCAAGGCGCCCGCTTGCCTTCCTACCTGTCTCAGGGAGCCCGGGAGCTGACTGGGTCAACCTTTCCAGGACTGACAAAAGCCAGGGGAGGTTGGACTTTCTCTTCCCGCTGCTGGCTGGTTTCCTCCCCCCGCCCCATCTTCCCCCACCCAGTCTGCTGACACCCACCTCCAATCCCTGAAGGAGCACAGCACCCCCACCGAGAGCCCCTCCCCCCCCCCCCGTGCCCAGGATTGCCCCGAGTTTCCTCTTCTTGGGTTCCTGCCAAGGCTTGCTTATTCTCAACTCTGTGGGCTCCGGGTCTTGGGTCTGTGCCAGCCACTTTTTCAGCCCCACTTCCCCTTGCCCAAGCCCTCCAGATCTTTGCCCAAACCCCTCCTCACTGCACCTACCCAACACTGACACAGCTGGGTGTCCAGCCACCCTCTCAATTCTATACTTCAGCTAGTTCACACACACACACACACACACACACACACACACACACACACACACACAGAGCTAGCTTCCCCCATCACTTTGAATTTACATCCGCCCCACCCCCAAACTTCCCCAGCTTCTCCTGAACCCTTAAAACTCTCTCTGCCTCCTGCACAGTGGCCTTTTAACCCCAGCACTTGGCAGGCAGAGGCAGGCGGCTCTCTGAGTTTGAGGCCAGCCTGGTCTATAGAGCTGGGCTACAGGGACCAAAGTTATAGAGAGAAATCTTGTCTTGATAAACAAAAATTGAAACAAAAACCCCTTTTTACAAGTCACCTTTAGAAGCCTCCTACCCACACTCCATCACTGATTCCAGCTGCCCTGTGTGTGTGTGTGTGTGTGTGTGTGTGTGTGTGTTTGGGGCTTTTTAATTATTGTTGTTTGTAAGTTTTGGCTTTTTTGTTTGTTTTCGTTTTTCAAAACAGGGTTTCATAGTGTAGCTCTGGCTGTCCTGGAATTTGCTCTGTAGACCAGGCTGGCCTTGAACTCAGATCTGCCTGCCTCTGCCTTCCGAGTGCTGGATTAAAGGCATGCGCCACCAACAGGCTGCTGCTACAGTTCTAATGAAGACTCAGTAAAATTCTGTCACCTGGAATTAGCTGTGAGTTGGGCTGGGTAAGGCCAGCCAATGCATTGTGGCTGATGCCCTGGACAATAGGTAGTGTTGAGGTAGAGGCTCTTATTGAATACACTTGTGGTGAATTTAACTTCCTTCCTGCTTTTCTACTCCCTCTATTCCTCCACCCCCTCCCCAAATCAAGACATTCCTTTGCCAACCATTCATTTTCTGAAAGCTTAAAAGAGTCTACTCTCCACCCCCCCCCTAGAAAAAATGAGCTGGCTCCAGGCCAGTGGAGGACACAGAGGCAGGAGTCCCTTGCTGGCCCTGACATGGACACTTCACTGGGCTCAGAGAAAGCAGTTTGCAACAGGATCTCAGACTGGACTAAGTAAAGCATGAAGCTCTACACACACACACACACACACACACACAGGCACACACATACAGACACATACACACACACACAAGCACACACATATAGACACATACACACACAGACACATACACACACACAGACACACACACACACACACCAGTGCAGGAGGCAGGCAGAGGTTTCCGGGCTCCAGGAACAGGATTCTCAGGCAAAGAAATCGAGGCAGCAAAGACAGTGAGATCACTTAGAAAGGAAAATGTTTCTTCATTCAAACTCCCCACCCCAGCCCAGGACCTTTCTGAATTTGGTCAAAAGTCCCTGTGGTGTGGGAGGGAAGTGCTTCTCCTCCTGAGGGCTGAGCAGCTGAGGAGCAACTTGCCTCTGGTTTGTTTCCCTGGCCCCTTTTCAGATGCCTGGACTTGGGTTCTTTTGCTTTGTTTTAAAGCAGGATCTCATGGAGCCTGAGCTGGCCTCAACCTGTAGCTGAAGACAGAGGAATCTGAGACTGGGGTGGCAGACCCCTTGTCCAGGTTATATAGTCCTGGACCTGGAAGCCATCAGGCATGCGGGACAAGTATTCTACCAACTGACTTCACTCAGTCCAGATCTGGACTTTTCTTCTTACCCTCTTGTCTTAGTCAGGGTTATTATCACTATGATGAAACACCATGACCGAAAACAAGTCAGAGAGGAAAGGGCTTATTTGGCTTACAATTCCATATCACTCTTCAAACAAGAAGTCGGGACAAGAACTCCAACAGGGCAGGAACCTGGAGGCAGAAGCTGATGCAGAGACCATGGAGGGTGCTGCTTACTGGCTTGCTCAGTCTGCTTTTTTATAGAACCCAGGACCACCAGCCCCAAGAGTGCACTACACGAATAAGCTGCCTCCCCCCCCATAGATCATTAAGTAAGAAAATAACAGAGCATAGTAGCACGCACCTTTAATCCCAGTACTTGGGAGGCAGAAGCAGGTGGATCTTTGAGTTCTAGGCTAGCCTGGTCTACAGAGAGAGAGTTCCAGAATAGCCAGGGCTACATGGAGAAACCCTGCCTCGAAAAAGGAGATGAAGAAAACGCCCTATAGGTTTGCCCACAGCCTGTCTTAGGGAGGGGTTTTCTCAATTGAGGTTCTCTCCTCTCTGATGACTCTGGCTGGTGTCAAGTTGACATAAAACTATCCAGCACACCCCGACAGAACATTTATTTTTCACTAGGACATAACTAACCTTGTCACCACCCCCACCCCCCCACAAACGGTTAGTGCACTCACTGCTGTAGAGCAGATACGAACAGTTTCAAGGACTGGAAGCAACCTTAAATGGCAAAAAACACTTTCTCTCTGAATTATCATAAAAATGTTTTAAGTAAAAAAAGAAAATGAGC